GTGATCGGGGAAGGGAGTTGAGTGACAGGAGGTGCGCGGCACGCTGGGAATTGTAGTTCCGAGCCTCCGTGGCCATAGCCATTTTGTAGTCAAGGGACTACAACTTCCAGAAGATCAAGGGGACTATTCTAAGGTGCCCCGGGAATAGGCGGCTCTCCCCCGGGCCGGGCGTCCTGGGGCACTGGTACCCAGCTGCCCGGCTGCAGGTAGACGTGAGGGCAGTGGTGAAGGGCTTGCCTGTGGCGGCTGTTGGGTGAGCGGACTGCGGGGGGGAAAGGGGCTGAGGTGGAGCGACCGAGCGTGCCATGCATTGAGCTAGGGAGCCTCTCTCAATTCCACGCCTGGGCTCGGCGTGGGAGAGGCGCGTGACGGGCGGCCTGCGGGGGATTCGCGGAGGCCTCTCCCGGGTCTCGTGGACGGGGCTGCGGGAGCTCTCGGCACCGGGGCCAGGGCGGGTGGGCGAAGGGTAGGCAGGCGTGCTGGGGCTCAGCTGTGGGAGTTTTCGGCTGGCGTGCGGTGGGGAATTAGCCGAGGAGCCCTAACTTGTATAAAAGCAGAGTCCATTTAAAGTTGGGCTGGATAGTCCGCCTCTCATTGGTTAGGGGGCTTGGAAAAAAGAGACTCGGCGAGCCCTCCGCTGTGGTGCCGCCGCCGCCGCCGCCGCCGCCGGAGTTGACTCTTCTGCTCGTACTGGTGCTGCGGCACAAACGTGACTTCCAACATTTAAAATTTATCGTTTTCCTTTCCAAGATGTAACTACAGATCAGACACTAAGGACCTTCACGTTTCGCTGATGTAGTTTTTGGAAGAAAAAGGGGGGGGAGTGAAGGGCGTCGGTTTTTTTTTTTTTCTTTTTCTTTTTTTTTTTGTGCCTCTGTGTTGTATGTTTCGGGGGAAATTTTCCATTATGAGTGTTTTACTAAAGTGAATTTTTCCTGTTTGCTTCGATCGTCTTTGGCTCTTTTTTGTTTTTATTTTTTAATTTTATCCTTCTCAATTTCGGATTTATTTGAAGGCGAATCTGGCTTTGGGGGAAGAGGAAGAAAAGTCGGATTACAAGATCAACCACCACCACCAACAATAAAAACCATCAGGATATTTTTTTGCAAATTTCTGACGGCTTTAAATTCATGAAGCAATTGTCCCCTTTTGCAATCAGCATTTGGATCTCAGAATGAGCAAGGAAAGACCCAAGAGGAATATCATTCAGAAGAAATACGTAAGTACTCCTAACAACACATCCTTTGGCTTGCAGTTTTAAGCAATGGTTGTGAATGTCAAGTTTATAGATAATTCTGCAGCTGAAAGGTTTTAAACAGCGTCCGATAAGGCTCTTTCTTTTCCGAAAGGGCTTTTCAGGCAAAGTCGTGTCTGCCTAGTTTGGTTGAGAAAACAGCCTGGTGTAGAGATACCCAAGTGAATCAATTGACCTCGAATGACACATTAATGCAGTTTTCGATGAAAGGCGAGGGGTTTGGTGGAGGTTGGGGTTCTGCGTTTGGGAACAGTAATACAACTAACCTGCACTCCGGGTGGATCCGGCCCCTTACTGCACTTTGCATACAAATGAGCCTGGTAGTGGTGTTATTTGGAAAATCGTGTAGGTAGGTGTGTTGGAAGCTGTGAGTTGCAAGCCCGGGTCGGCTTATGGCGATCTTCTTGCACTGGCACATCATTTAATGTATGTGGTCGTTTTGGTTTATCTAGTTTGCAACGTAACCCAGTTGGGAATCATGTTACAGAGAATGCACTTATTGGTATTGACTTTATAATGAGCCTCGTTTTGGTTTTGTTTAAAAGGAATTCATGGTTTCTAGTTCTAGAGGAGGGGAACATGGTTCATGTTTTAAAGTATGTATGTGTGTGAATACGTATGTTAGTACAAATTTCTCCCTGTTAACTGGATTTCTGAAATTGGGGTTGTAATAGTTAAATTTGTTTTGTGCATACTATGGCAGCGTTTTGCTTGGCATAGGGAGTGTTTTTGTTTTGTGTAGTGGCTTTTTTTTTTGTAAGTTTGAGGGGAGGGAGTGTAGAGGGGAACCAAGGGATTAACCAAATATGCACTTGAGTGATCGGTAGTTAGCTGCGTATGCTTTAGAGCAAAGAACTCATTTTCTCCAGAAAAAAGGCCTTTGAAGATACATAAAGAACAATGCGACCTTAAAAGAAAGTTTTATTTAACTAGAGTCGATGGTTTGTTGTTAATATTTTCCCTTTCTGACTACTGTGGAGTGTATAATGGGAGATGACCTTCGGAGCAGTGGTTTTGTAAAAAAAAAAAAAAAAAAAAAAAATATATATATATATATATATATATATATATATATATTATTTTATTGGGAAACCTGAATGCCTTTTCCGGAAAGCTGATCTTAATCTATACACGTAAACTTAACTATGAAAGAAACGCAAGATTAAATAATGAAGCTCAACTTACAAAGCTGCTCCATGAGGAATTTAAGAATTAAAATACATCCGCATTGCAGAGGGCTGGGTAGAGCGCAGAGGACTAGTTTAAAGTCGGTGTGTAGAAACTGCATGGACACAGCCTTCCCTTGGAGCGTGGATTCCTTCCCAGAGCATGTCTGATTCTGATGTAGCCACAAAGGAGATGGGGTAGAACTTGGACAAGAACCCCCCACTCTGTCCCGGATCTCGATAAGTTGGAGAACACTGTGGGGTCGGCTTTTTTTGTTGTTGCTGGAGGCCAGCGGATCCTGCCGAGTCTCGTCCGGCCGCAAGCCGATGTGGCCGGCTGTGGCCGTGCGAGGCAGAGCATGAGTTGCTGCTGGAGGAGCCGAGTCTGTGCTCACGCCAAGTTCCGGACGCAGCCAGCCGAGAGGGTGCGCGGGGCCGCGGCGGGCTGGGCCGGAGCCCGGGCTGGGGCCGCGGGCGCGCGGCGGCCTGTAGGGGGCAGACTCCGGGCTGAGCTGAGGCCGGGCGGGTGGGTGGGGCTCGCGGGTGGCGCGGCGTGCAGACTCGGGGCGTGCCTGGCCTGAGTGAGGGAGGCGGCGCTGGGGTGCGGGGGGAGTCTGCCTCGGGCGCCCCCCGCCGCGCGCTAGGCTGATCCGGCGTCTCCACGCCGCCCTGCCGGCGGGCTCCGGCGCAGTCTCGAGAGCAACAGGTTAAGCGGGCGAGACGTCAGCGCGCCCCCACCCCGCCCCGCGGCCTTCCTCTGCCGTGCGCCTTCGCCCCCTCCGCCCCCCTGCGTTCCGTCCTCTCCCCGCCCCCTGCCCCCAGTGGCTCTGAGTCCTCCGCCCCCATCTCGAGCCGCTGCGTTCTGTTGTCATTGTGACGTCACAAAGGGACCGGCCCGGTGGAACCTTCCCCTCCTCCGTGATGTCAAAAGTCCGGGCGGGAGGTTCCAGGCGCGGCCTAAGTAGGAGCTGCGGGACCGGGGCGTGGGAGGAAGAAGGGTTTGTGAAGGATGTGGCCGACCTCGTCCTTCCACTTTGAGGTGTCCCAGGTTCCACCAGGTGAGCGTCGGGAGCCTTCTACTCCTCACCGAATGCTCTTGAACCTTCGCAAAATATTTAGGGTCTGGGGAGCAGGGAGTATGTGCCGGCTTAACGGAGGAGTATTTTCCCTCCTCAGTTCCTGGTCTTTTGATGGTGTAGTTCCCGCTTAAGCCCGTGTTAATGAAAACTGCAATTGTGCGTGGATGGAGTTGAGGATTTGGTTACTTTGTCGTGTTGAGGGGTGGCTTTACAGGATGTAGCATAACTTTGGACAGGATGCTGCTCAGCATCCGCTATCTGCTATTGCGTTAAGCTTTTCACTGTCTTTGGGGGTAGGGCTGTTCTCTTGGTTGTGCCAGTCATCTTCCCACGAGCTGTATCTTCGGAACTCCTGAGAGAGGAAGGGCTGTACTCCAAAGAGCACAGGAGTCTCAAGATTCACTGGGTTTAGTTCTTAATAGGACAGCAAATGGTTTGTGGTGTGACTCTTCACTATTCGGTAAAGTGGAAAAAGTCTTAACTGTTTTTGTCACTTTACTAAGTCATTGAGATTATGTGGGTGGAAGATAGATGTAAATCAGTGAGCTTTAAATGGAAGGTAGCATTATTACTTGAGCTGGTGGAAGGCAGTGTGCTTCCTACAATTGGTCTCAAAAGCTTTAGATGCCTTCCATTTAGTTTAGGCAAAGAGTTTCAGAGTGTGATTGTAGATGGAAGGCTTTGGGAGAAATGAGTATTGTATTTTTTATTAAATGACATCATTGAGAAGCTCATAAATTGAAATATAATCCTGTCTTAATTGTGTTGGGCATGACTCCCACTACAGTACCTTAGATAACTGGAAAAGGTTGCCTTTCGGAGCCCCAATTCACTTGGACAATAAAACAGTTGCGAGTTTCCCCCTGTGTGTATTTTCTGCCATCATTCCTGTAGTTTGTTATTCTTAAGGGAAGTAGGGGGATGATAACCAGGCCATTTGTTCTTAGCTTGATACCAGATACTTGAAAAACAAATGATTAGGGTGGTATTTTGGATGACTTTGGCAGAATTTGTACCACTGGGCTGTAATAATGTTTAAAATAACACACATTATGACATCCTCTGAAACTAACAGGACGACTTTGAATGTGTTCTTTAATCGCTACTTGGGATTGAATTCAGATCTTAAGGCTTATTTGGAAGACTTTTATCTGTGGAGCCATATCACTAGTCCCCTCCCTAGCCTATTTTAAGGATCTAGTTTTTCAAATGTCTGTAGTTCTAGCAGTTTCCAAGATCATCTTTAGTTACATATCCAGTCTTAGTTGAAAGCCCTTCTTGGGCTACACAAAAAACAGTTCCTGCTCCCAATGCCACTCTGTTGATAGAATTTGTGCCTACCATACATCAGTACCGATCCCCAGATAAACCTCTAATCAGGAGTTTTAAGCAGGTGGATCATGAGTTCTAGGTCATTTTCTGCTATATATAGGAAGCGTGACGCCAGCAGCCTGAAGACCCGCTCAGAAACATACCCTAGACCACTGCATGATCTCAGAAAGTGAGAGTTAGCTTCATAAGGTTCAGAAACAGTTTTACTATATTTTATAGTTACAAAGTTAAAACAAGAGAAGTATACAAAGGCAGGGGTTTAGCTTAGTGCAGGAGTGCTTGCTTGGTATGGACAAAGTCCCAGGGGTTTTGATGATCTCCAGCAAAAAAAAAAAATTCAAAGTAATGATTGATTCCTGGCATGATTGATACACACCTTTAACCCCCAGCACTGGTGAGGCAGGCATGCATATCGCTTAGTTTAGGCTAACCTGGTCTATACAGCAAGTTCTAGGCCAGACTCTTGACTCAAGGGAAAAAAAAAATCAGTTTGCTTGTTTTTCCTTTGTTGAACAAACATTGTGGTATTTTACGGCTATAGAGGAAGAACTGAAGTTATTAAGTTATTAGTTGTCTTTTTTTTTTTTTTTTATCCCTCACATTCATATTGCTTTGTATTTGTTTCTAGTGGTGGAAAACCCTTTCCTTTCCCAAAAATCTAGGGCAGAGGTGCTTTGTTTTTATTTTTTTGCAGAGCTTAGGCTCTTGCACATGCTAGGAAAGCTGTGACACCAAACAATACCAGAAGCAACTTTAAGACACTAAGGTATGGTATTCAGACAGTACAGAAGCAATACAGTCAGGTTCATGGTGTGCTTAATTAATTTAAAATTAACTGGCTTATTTTTTGGGTTGATTTATTATTACTTTGTTTCTTCAAGACAAGGTTTCTCTGTGAAGCCTTGGCTGTCTTGGACTTCTTTGTGGACCAGGCTGGCCTTGAACTCATAACCTGCCTCTGCTTCCCAGAGGTGTGTGCCACCACACCCAGCTTTATTACTCTTTTTTTAAAGGGCTGATATTTCTACAGATCCTTCTTCACAATGAAAATTTTTTATATTTTGTTTGTGCACATATATGTGTGGATGCTGTTCTCACACGTGGAGGAGCTGGTTCTCTACCATGTGGTTTACCTGCTAAGCCATCTAACTTTGTTGGGAGTTGAGTATTTGTCTCTAGCCACTGGCCCAAATAGCCAGCTAGAAATCTTTTGTACTTTAGATGGTGAGTCGATATATATATATTTTATATATACATGTATCTATGTGTATGTGTATATACACATATTTATATATATGGTGTATCTAGGGCACTACTGAGTCCCCTCTATGTCCCTTGATTATTTAAACTTACTGACTTCAAAAGGACGACAGCTTTTGAAGTCCCT